CACACTTGCGGCCAGCAAGTTTTTCATTACATAAACGTCAATGATGTTGCATGAGCATATTGGACAGACCATTTTTGCCCAAGGCGACCATGTCAGAGAGCACCTTTAAACACAGCATGCCGGCTCTGAAAAAAGTGACGGCCGCAGCTTCGAGAGAGAGGGAGGAAGAGCACCCCTTTGCAAAACACGGCGCGCTTCATAGATTCAATGTTTCTGCGCCACCTGTTTTCCACTTGTCGGCTACATGAGCCCTTTGATCATGCAGTGTGATTTAGCTGGAAGGTCAGGGTTGCTCAGTGTATAGCACGCTTCTCTATGCAAAGGGAACGCTGCTGCCATGGCGAATCGTCGCCCTGGCAGTTTCCATCTCAAGAGAATGACAGCAGCTCTGTCGCTATCAGCATCATCGGGTGACGGATTCCTTCGACTTAGACGTATACAATATTGTAACAACATGTCAAAATCCGGCGGGTCAGCGCTTGTAGTAAGAAGAAACCAAGTTCAGACCATGCGAGAAATCAGTTTTAGCTGCTGTAAGGCTCATGCAGCAAGTTTGGCCAAGCAAAATGCATGGCAGCAATCAGTGGCCGCATCCCCAGCGGTGGATGGCATATGCTCGAACATGCTTTCACGTAACGCATTGGAATCCAGAAATTTGATGAATCTTACAGATATTCCCGCGCAAGCTATGAAATCAGCACGCTTTGATACACTTTTACCACCGTGTTTTGGACGTGCAGTTTTCATTTCGTGCGAAACGGTCGCGTCTGACGTTGTAAAAGCGCAATTTTTTGACAGTTTTGCGACATTTGCGTTTGATGTAGCAAAATCGCAATTCTACACCAGTCTTTGCCGTTCGACTTTCATTTCGTGTGAAAAGGTTGCATCTGACGTCGTAAAATCGTGATTTTACGCCAGTTTTGCGACATCTGCGCTTAACAGTTAAAGCCGTAGAATGTGAAATCGCAATTGCACACCAGCTTTTAAGGTTGCATCTGAAGTTTCAATCTTGCAATCTTACACCCGTTTTTGGCACCGGGCCCTCATTTTGTGCGAAAAGGCGGCGCTGCGCACAACAAAATTATCCCCACCCCCGGTAGAGGGGGTAAGATATTGTAAGTTACAATTTGTTTGGCCCCAATAGAGTAAGGGGGGGTTCAACATGTAACAATGGACATGGGGCACCGTAACTTACATTTTAGCCACCCCCCCAAATTTTGCATCCGCTTTCTCGATTTGGTAAAGGCATACCTGAAGGTCACAGTTTTTATCTGTTTTTGCAGGGTTGTGGAAACCTCCCCTGCAGCTACGTATATTTTTCTGTTGGGGCAGAAGGTTCGTGAAGGTTCCATAGATAATCCATAATTACCAGTAGTACCGCACAAGGCGGTGGCGGAAGTTTCAAAAATAGGAAACCTATAGGAGAGGTTGGTTGTTGTGAATCAGGGATGGCAGAGCGAAGCCACTGATGGAGCGAAAGGTGATTGATCTCTCTCACTATTTCTCTCTCTTTCTCTGACTATCTACCTACCTACCTACCTACCTACCTATCTATCTATCTATCTATCTCTCTCTCTCTCTGTCTATCTATCTATCTATCTATCTGTCTGTCTGTCTATCTGTCTGTCTGCCTATCTATCTATCTCATCTACCCAGCTGGCCTCTCTCTCTCTCTCTCTTTCATCTAATTACCTATCTATCTATCTATCTACCTACCTGTCTATCGATCTCTCCCTTTCATCTGTCTATCTGTCTAGCTGTCTACTTGTCTATCTGCGTTGCAGTGTCATTCAGTGTAATGTAGCGTGGTGTAGAGTAATTTAGTGTAGCGGAGTGTACTGGAGTGTAATGTAGTGTAATGTCCGACGTAGTGTAGTGTCTTGAAGCGAAGCGACATCTGAACCTCCAAAAGTGGTCCAAACCCCTAGTGTTTTGTACATTTTGACGCCACAACGGCGTGCACTTTTTCGACATCTCAACTTCAAAAAATGGTCCGACGCTGGTGTATTTTGCGCATTTTGACTTGGAAATGTGCTTCGCGCCACAACGGCGTGCACTTTTTCCACATCCGAACCTCCAAAAGTGGCGCGAACATGTGGTGCTTTGTACATTTTGACTTGGAAATGTGCTTCGCGCCACAACGGCGTGCACTTTTTCCACATCCGAACCTCCAAAAGTGGCGCGAACATGTGGTGCTTTGTACATTTTGACTTCGAAATGTGCTTCGCGCCACAACGGCGTGCGCTTTTTCGACATCTCAACTTCCAAAAGTGGTCAGAACCCCTAGTGTTTTTAACATTTTGACTTCGAAATGTGCTTCGCGCCACAACGGGGTGCACTTTTTCGACATCTCAACTTCCAAAAGCGGTCCGGACCTGATGTGTTTTGTACATTTTGACTTGGAAATGTGCTTCGCGCCACAACGGCGTGCACTTTTTCGACATCTCAACTTCCAAAAGCGGTCCGAAGCTGAGGTGTTTTGCACATTTTGACTTGGAAATGTGCTTCGCGCCACAACGGGGTGCAATTGTTCATCTCTCATCTGGCCAGCCGGCTCCGCACCCGCCGCTTTAGCGAGCCTACTTTTCGACCCTCCGGAGCCACAAATCATTGGAAAAACACAGTGTTTCGCGACTTTCCTACCTTTTCGCGCATCTGCATCTTCTTTCTTCTGACTCTTTCTCTTCTACTCTTCTTTCTTCTTATCTTTCTCTTCTCTCTGCCTCTTCCCTGCTCTGCTTTTCATCTGTCCATATTGTCGGAAGTTTGACTTCTAAACTTCCTTCGAACAATCCTTGGTATCCTCAGATGTGTCAGAATATGGCAGAAAGCAAAATGATGATATATCATCACAATCATCACATATCACGCTGAAACCTGCATTCACCTTTTTTGCGCCCAATTACCTTTCTGAAATTATTCAGTGAAGAACAGCACAAAAGACATGGTTTCCAATCAGTTCTCCTGTTTTCGACAACATTTGTTTTTCTGCAAAAAATGTGACTTAATTTTGAGCCAAACCAAACACATTGAAAACACTTTCAAAACACAACCACAACACATTAGAAACACTTGTGCAAACGCATTAATCATTAAATCTTGGCTCGTTGGACTCCCACCATACATTGAAACATATTCCAAACACACGCTAAGGTCAAAACATATCTAAAACACATTCGACATACATTCAAAATACACAACATATCTTTAAAAAAAACTAAACCACATCAAAAACATCAATAAAATATCTAAAGCAAATCTAAAGCAGATCGAAAGCACATTCACAATAGATTCAAAGCACACATAAATAAATACACAACATATCTGGAAAACTTTTTTTAATAGTATTTACACAACATATACCCACCATTTCTCATTTTCTCGTTGTTTCCCCCTGTTTGGTTACCTCGTTGTGTTACCCCGTTGGTTTATCCCGGTGTGTTACCCCGTTGTGTTTCCCCCCCGTTGTGGAGCTCCAAGGTCGTGAGCCCTCGGTGTGTCTCCCCCGCTGTGTCTCCCTGTTCTCCCCCCCGTGAACTGAGAAATGGGAAGCGATACAGGTGATAAGTTTTTTTTTGTATGTATACATTTAGCTAACTGCTGTTTCCAAAAATAGTCGCTTTAAAAGCAGTTTTTTAGTACTTATTCTTGGCCATCTAAATGTTTCAACAGCATCAATACCATTTAATTCCAAAATTTCAATACCACGGGAAATGATAGAAAACGTATGAACATAAATGCCAGCTATTTTGTAGGGGAAATTCTTGGAGGCATGTTTTCATAGCAACTATGTCTTGACTTGTTTTGAACAGAGGTTTGGCCTATAGATCCACCAACATGCTGGGGGATACAATAGAATACAATAGGTGGAAAAAGGACTACAGTTCTTTTAACATATAGCAACCATATATGGATAGATAGATAGATAGATAGGTAGATAGGTAGATAGGTAGATAGGTAGATAGGTAGATAGGTAGATAGGTAGATAGGTAGATAGGTTAGATAGGTTAGATAGGTTAGATAGGTTAGATAGGTTAGATAGGTTAGATAGGTAGATAGATAGATAGAGATAGGTAGATAGGTAGATAGGTAGATAGGTAGATAGGTAGATAGGTAGATAGGTAGATAGGTAGATAGGTAGGTAGGTCGATAGGTAGACTGATTGATTTGATTGATTTGATTGATTGGTTTGATTGATTGATAGATAGATAGGTAGGTAGATAGACAGACAGACAGACAGATAGACAGATAGACAGATAGACAGATAGACAGATAGACAGATAGACAGATAGACAGATAGATAGACAGATAGACAGATAGACAGATAGACAGATAGACAGTTAGACAGATAGACAGATAGACAGATAGACAGATAGACAGATAGATAGATAGATAGATATAGATAGATAGATAGATAGACAGACAGATAGATAGATAGATAGACAGATAGACAGATAGACAGATAGCTCGATAGGTGGATAGATAGATTTGTCACACATGCAGGAAAAAGTTACCAAGTCTGCCACGGATAAACAAATTTGGCGGTTCTTCGTTCAACCGCGCTATTCGGCGCCAAATGGCTTTATTCGAAATCAATTTGGGGGCCACGCGTCCAGTTTTCGTTCTTCGCTGCGACATGCAACGCTGCCCAAACGCACGCAGGAATTTCAGCACAATGATTCAAGCACAAAGGACAGCTGCAGTTTCTCTTGCAGACAAATTTCTGCCTCATGACCCTTCAAAGTAGCGGAATCAAACATATCGAAGGGACGGGTTCCCCTTGAAGGTATAGGGATGATTACAGCTTGGTAGCAGATCTGCCATTTGCATTTCATTGACTTGACTGAGGCTGAACTCCTGAAACTGGCTGGAGGACCTGGTGGAAGACCAGTGCATTTCCCACCTTGGTGCGATGTTTGCGGGTACCCTTTGTAGCTCTTCCTGCGGTCAGCTTGATTTGGCTACACCTGACGCAGCATCCCGTGAGGACTCGACATCATTGCATTCAATGCAGCATTCATTGCATGCAAGGGCTGCTTGTTTGCACGAGATTGTAGCCCGTGAGGGCAATTTACGGTGCACTCGTAGATTGGCAGGCGTTCAAATGTTTGATTTGCGCGTCGCGCTCTGTTTCAAGAAGGGCGACCATGTGGGCAGTCCAAGGACATTGACAAACTGCAAAGAAGCCACTATCGTGGCATTTGGATGTTTCAAATGTATTTGGGCATTTCAAACGTTAAAACTTCAAAAGATAGTTATGTCAGTTAAAACTGATTAGATGTCTCTTCTCAACGCCAACCAAAGAGCTAGTCAGTCTTCAACACGCTTCCAACCTTGTCTGGTCAATCTTCAACACGCTTCCAACATAGCATTGCAATATCATTGCGCAAACTGTGTTGGGTCCCAAGGTCCTGGGTGATGAAAGTGCTTTTGACCTTTGCCATCATCCATTTGTTAATTTATCACTTTTTTCATCCTCAGGTTTGATATCACTACGAATGATGCTTGAAGTCAGCCTTACCCATCAGTATCCATCCACTCCTTCAATTCCATGCACCCACGTCACTCACTTTATTTATTTCATCCATTTCATCCATCTCATCCATTTCACCCATTCACGCATTTCATCCATTTCATCCATTTCATCCGAATCATCTCATTCATCCGTCCATATAGAATCTATATATCCATCTATCTATCCATCCATCCATCCATCCATCCATCCAGACACAAACGGCATCAGCTGAGTCACTCACTACGATATTTCTGCCAAGCCCGAATCAACGTTACCGGCTAAAACTGCGGCAGACAGGTGAAGCCAAGAGCCTTTGAAATCAGAATGAGGCAAGTGGCAAGTAAACCAAGCGCTGTTTCAGCCACCCATGTCAAAACCAAAGAATTGCCTGAAATCATACAATCGGCAAATCACACATGCCAAACGAGAAGGTTGTGCCAACTGTCAGCCACCTCGTTCGAATATGATTCCGCGCATATCCCGGTGGAAAGTGTTATCGTCTTTTGCCCTCTTCTCAGGTAGTCGGCGGGGCCTCAGGGAAGGCAAAGCACATTTTCTTCGCAATTTGCGCGGCCATCGTTATGAGATTTTCTGAGCCACAGAGGATGTGCGAGCAATTGCTATTGTTTCGTGTTTTTTCCCGAGAGCGTCTGAGCGCAGGGTTCTTCCAATAGTGCGGGTCTGTATCTCATCTTCTCATCCTCACACCTTCTCATCTTCACACCTTCTCATCCTCACACCTTCTCATCTTCACATCTTCTCATCTTCACACCTTCTCATCTTCACATCTTCTCACTTCACATCTTCTCATCTTCACATCTTCTCATCTTCACATCTTCTCATCTTCGCATCTTCTCATCTTCACATCCTCACATCTTCACATCTTCTCATCTTCACAGCTGCTCATCTTCACATCTTCACATCTTCACATCTGCTCATCTTCACATCTTCTCATCCTCACATCTTCACATCTTCACATCCTCACATCTTCACATCTTCTCCTCTTGCCCTCTTGCCCTCTTGCCCCCTCCTTCTTTTCTATTTCTCTTCTGAAGGCGGGGGCGGGGGCAGCGCCAACGAGACGGCACGAAACGCAACCCTTTCGCACGAAACGAGGTTCGATCGTCAAAAACTGAGATTAAATTGCGATTTCAACTTGTCCCGCGCAACCCTTTCGCACGAAACGATGTTCGATCGCCAAAAACTGAAGTAAAATTGCGATTTCAACTTGTCCCGCGCAACCCTTTCGCACGAAATGAAGTTCGATCGCCAAAAACTGAAGTAAAATTGCGATTTCAACTTGTCCGGCGCAACCCTTTCGCACGAAACGAGGTTCGATCGTCAAAAACTGAAGTAAAATTGCGATCTCAACTTGTCCCGCGCAACCCTTTCGCACGAAACGAGGTTCGATCGTCAAAAACGAGGTAAAATTGCGATTTCAGGTGTCCCGCAAACCCTTTCGCACGAAATGAGGTTCGATCGTCAAAAACTGAGGTAAAATTGTGATTTCAAGTTGCTCCGCCCAACCCTTTCGCACGAAACGATGTTCGATCGTCAAAAAGTGTGTAAAAGCTTTTGTGTGCAAAAGTGTCTGTGTGTCAAACTGTTTGTGTGTAAAAACGTCTGTGTGTAAAAGTGTCTGTGTGTAAAAGTGTCTGTGTGTAAACGCGTCTGTGTGTAAAAGCGTCTCTGTGTAAAAGCGTCTGTGTGTAAAAGCGTCTCTGTGTAAAAGCGTCTGTGTGTAAAAGTGTTAGTGTGTAAAAGCGTCTGTGCGTAAAAGCTTTTGTGTGCAAAAGTGTCTGTGTGTAAAAGTGTTTGTGTGTAAAGGCGTTTGTGTGTGAAAGCGTCTCTGTGTGTGCAAGCGTCTGTGTGTAAAAGCTTTTGTGTGCAAAAGCGTCTGTGTGTAAAAGCGTCTGTGTGTAAAAGCGTCTGTGTGTAAACGTGTCTGTGTGTAAAAGCGTCTGTGTGTAAAGGTGCCTGTGTGTAAAAGCGTCTGTGTGTAAAAGCGTCTGTGTGTCAAAGTGTTTGTGTGTAAAAGCGTCTGTGTGTAAAAGTGTCTGTGTGTAAAAGTGTCTGTGTGTAAACGCGTCTGTGTGTAAAAGCGTCTCTGTGTAAAAGCGTCTGTGTGTAAAAGTGTTAGTGTGTAAAAGCTTTTGTGTGTAAAAGCTTTTGTGTGCAAAAGTGTCTGTGTGTAAAAGCGTCTGTGTGTAAAGGCGTTTGTGTGTGAAAGCGTCTGTGTGTGTGCAAGTGTCTGTGTGTAAAAGCGTCTGTGTGTAAAAGCGTCTGTGTGTAAAAGCGTCTCTGTGTAAAAGCGTCTGTGTGTAAAAGTGGTGTTAGTGTGTAAAAGCGTCTGTGTGTAAAAGCTTTTGTGTGCAAAAGTGTCTGTGTGTAAAAGTGTTTGTGTGTAGTAATAGCTATATTGTCTTGATACTCCTTTTCTTGTCTGCCTATAATACATCTTTAATATTGTAGAGCTTCGCACACCGGCGATGCCTGTAGGGGTCGGGGGAGGGAAAGAGAGAGGGGGATTTCATGATTTCATCTGAGCTTGCGGACATGACATGCTGCGAGCTGCATCTTCGTTGTCGTCATCGTCATTGTCGTCGTCGTCGTCGTCGTTGTCGTTGTTGTCGTCGTTGTTGTTGTTGCTTTTGGTCCTCCTTCTCGTTCTTGTTCTTGTTCGTGTTGTCGTTGTCCTTGTCCTTGTTGTCGTTGTTGTCGTCATTGGCGTCGTTGTCGTCGTTGTAGTTGTTGTCGTCGTCTTCGTCGTCGTCGGCAGCGTCGTCGTCGTTGTTGTTATTGTTATTGTTGTTATAGCATGTTATAGCTGTTGCTGCTTGGTCCTGTTGTCGTTGTCGTTGTTATCTTTGTAGTTGGTACTTTTTCCAAACCCCCGAAAATCGTCAAATCGACGGTTTTTGCAAGCCCGCAAAAAGCGTCAAATAGGCGGTGTTTTCGCGATTTTTCACGTTCTCGGAACAAAAAAAACACCGTAAATACAGATGTTTTTGGCTCCGCGCCAACGCAAAACCACGGCATGTACGAGGTTTTGAGCCCTGCTAGCAAAAATCACGGTAATTTACAGTGTGTTGTGGCCCGGGCCTAGCAAAAACACTGGTATGCACGCAGTTTCCTGCATGTTGTCAGAAGCTTTTTTTGGATGCCAAAGGCACAAAAACATTGTAAATTACACGATTTTTACGCGTGGACAATACCAAAAAAACATGAAAAATCCACCAAAAATCGACCAAAAAACACCCAACAAGGACCTCCAAAACGCATCTTCAAATTTTACCTTCTTTTTCCCACCCGAACCCCCAAAAACGTGAAAACCTCAGCACCCTGAAGGATTTTCAAAAAGGTGGGCGGCACCGGCACGCCCCCAGGTAGCTAAAGCTATGCGCTTAGCAACACCACAAACGACGAGGCATCGCCGGATTTAAGCGCTTACGCGCGACAGCCGGCCAGGGGCCCAACTATGTAGGCCCATTGTGTGGCTATGTTGGCCTATGTTGGCGTATGTTGGCCTATCTTGCGGGCAATGTGGGCCCATCTTGCGGCTATGTTGGCCTCATGTTGACCCATGTTGAGCCAAAAGATCCGAAAAATTGGAACAGCAAAAAAAAACACTGTAAAACGCAGGATATTTTGATGGTCGGCGGCCTATCTTAGGGCTATGTGGGCCCATCTTGGGGCTATGTCGGCCTATCTTGAGGGCAATGTGGGCCCATCTTGGGGCTATGTTGGCCCATCTTGGGGCTATGTTGGCCCATCTTAGAGCTATGTTGGCCCATCTTGGGGCTATGTTGGCCCATCTTGGGGCTATGTTGGCCCATCTTGAGGCCTAGGTTGGCCCATCTTGAGGCCTTTGTTGGCCCATGCTGACCCATCTTGAGCCACAAGATCCGAAAAATGGGAAAAATGGGAAGAGCACAAAACACCGTAAAACGCGGGACTTTTTGGCGGGCAGCAGGCAGCTGGCAGCTGCAGGCAGCAGCAGGCAGCGGCATGCAGCGGCAGACAGCAGCAGGCAGTAGCAGGCAGTGGCAGCAGCAGGCAGCAGCACGCAGCAAGCAGCGGCAGCGGCAGCAGCAGCGGCGGCGGCGGCAGCAGCGGCAGGGGCAGCGGAGCAGCGGCAGCGGCAGCAGCAGGCAGCAGGAGCATGAGCAGGAGCATGAGCAGGAGCAGCAGCCACCAGCAGCAGCAGTCAAAATCAAAATGTGATTTGAAGTAGGATTTCAGAAGGGGACGTTCCGGCCCCCGGGAAGCTTGTTAATGCGACTGATTTTGAATCATTTTCGGCGAAATTAGGTTGTGTTTTGCTGTTTCGGAAAAATGTGTCTGGCTGTTGGTTTCTTGCTTTAGAGGCTGGTTGGCTTGAAAACTATATACACCTTGTTCAAACCATTAGTGCCAAAAAAAGCATGCTATGCATACTCTGCGCTGTAGTTAGTTGCTGCACCTTGCCACTGCGCCTTGCCACGGTATAATGGGATTCGTTGTGATTATATTATACT